TTGTTCCCTTGTCCCTGGGTTTGTTAACACCACTTCCTTTCCCCCCACCTCCCCCTGTCCCATGTCCACCCGGAACTGTTGGTCCCGTTGTTTTAAATACTTCATCTAGGTGCTTCCTTTCATTCTTTTCTAGCTGTATATTTTCTAATTTGAAAAATGAGCTTGTAATTGTCACAGGACACCACTGCCAAGACCTAAACTGCCCCAATTAAGATACAGTATTTGTAGAATCGTAACATGTTCTTCTTATATAGATGTATAAGATTATGATTGCATATTATCTTTGTTCAGTAAGTCCACCTTGAAAGTTTTTTAACTGTTTTAAATTAATTCTACAGAAAATCTTAGTTGTTTGGGTTAGCAAAAGTTTATTAACAAGAAAACTAACAATTGGTACATTTGTGGAGCAATAGATATTATATACATTGCTGGTGGAAATGGAAAATGTTCTAGCCACCTTGAAAAACAGGCAGTTTCTTACAAAGTTAAGCATATACTCAGCAATCCCATGTCTAGGTATTTAATTAGCCTAGAGAAAAATTTAAGTATATCTGCTATACACAGATCTGTATGTGGAAATTATTAAAAATTTAGATGTCCCTCAGTAAGAAATAATCTTATAATTTGGTGCACAAGATAATTTTAACAAGTCTTTAAAAGTGATAAAAATTAAACATTTTTGGGAACCATTCTCCTTGGCTTATCCATAAAACCAAGTTAAGTTCACTGCCATGGAGTCGATGCCGGCCGACTCACAGTGACACTATAAGGACAGGGTCAAACTGCCCCTGTGAGTTCCCAAGACTCACTCTTTATGGGAGTAGAAAGGCTCATGTACCTCCCCCTCCTTGGTTATAGCATATAAAAATCAGAAGTACACACACAAAAAATGTGCCAAAAAACAGCCAGCCAACCACTGAATCAGTTGTCATCCATCCTTTTCCTACTCATAGTGGCCCATGTATGTCACACTGTGCTTTATGGGTTTTCAAGGTTGTGACATTTCAAGAGCCCTTTCTGTCAAAGCACCTCTGTGTGGGTTTGAATCTCCAACCTTTATGTTAGTTTAGTAAAGTGCTTAAGCATTTGTATCACCTAAAAAATGTGCAGATTAGGTAAATTAAAGTACTATATAATTATGTCTTATATAATTATACGTTGTAATTACATAATATAATTATATACAAATACATATAGTCATATATGTACTCCTTTTTTGTATCTTAGTATTACAAAAAAGTAATATTAAGAAAAAGTAAGCTTTAAGTTTAAATAGTTGAATTCATAATTTCTAGTCCTTTTGTATTTTATCAAAGAAAACAAAATTCTTAGTGTATTCTGAAGCTATTATCCATTATGGTATTTAATCCTTGATAATATTTAAGGGATTTTTGTTTTTGTTTTTATCTTTGCTAGATTATCTGCGTCAAAGTTATGGGCTATCTATGGACTTCAATTCGCCAAATGACTATAATAAATTGGTGCTTTCACTGTTATCTGGACTCCCAAATGAAGTGGATTTTGCTATTAATGTATGCACTCTCCTATCAAACGAAAGCAAGCACGTCATGCAACTTGAAAAAGACCCTAAAATCATCACTTTATTACTTGCTAATGCCGGGGTGTTTGATGACAGTAAGTTTTAAGCTGGACATATTGTATGCGTATTCTCTTACGGTATTATATTATGTGATGGTGGTATTTATTATCTAATCGTTGTTGGCACTTTGGTTCTAACTCATGGTGACCTCATATACACTAGAATAAATTGTTGATGAACTGCAGTCCATTGTTGGGACCAGTGTGTTCTCAAGTTCCTTCCAACCTCAGGGGCTCGTGTTTACCATTATATGAGAAAGTGTGCTGTCATGAGCCATAGGGTTTTAATTGGTTAATTTTCACAAGTACACCATCAGGCCTTTCTTCCGAGTTAGTCTGTCTTGGTCTAGAAGCTCTGCTGGAACCTGTCCACAATTAATGATCTGCTTGTATTTGAAATACTAGTGGCCTACCTTCTGATAGGTATCATGGCACCACTAGAGCTACCACGGTATGATGCACAGAAAGATGAGTGGTGTGTTATTAAGTAGATGTACACATTTAATACTTGTAATTATGCTTCCAAAGTCGGCTTTTAAAAGGAAGCATAGTTTTAATATTAAATGAATAATTGTTCTTTATTTTCCTAATATGAAATGAATTACTTAAGATAATGAATGGTTTTTTAAACTTTATTTACATAATAATTTATTTTAATTAGAGTCTTTTAAATTAAAAAACTTATGTTTCTTGGGATTTTTATGTTTCATAATTTTAGAACAATGGTTGTTAGAAAATTCTGATTAAAATTATGGTCTGGGAGAAATAATTTAACATAGTTTTATGTCTGGTAGAATGTGTAAAATTGTATTTTTTAACTAAAACAAAATACGTTAGCCCTAAATAAACAAAATAAGGCGAATCATGGATTTGATTATCTTTTTTTAATATGTGTAGGCATATATACCTTTAGGCATATAGGTTCATTTTCTCTGCTTTGGTTCAAGTAGTATGCTATTAAAACATAATTTTATTTGGGTCTCTTTTAGTAGGAGTTCTTACAATTTGATATATGCTTATTTGTCAGAAGTTAATTTTGAAGTTAAACAAGAGTGAAAATTAAGTTTCTTAACCTTGTCTGAAATTATTCCTTGTTGTATGAGCAGACAAACCAAGACCATTGTTGACTTCTCTTGTAACTTTGAAATTTTAAACGTGAAATTTTATCTCATTTTTAGTGTTTTTTTTAATCCAATATCTTATTTTCGTGTTTGAAATATAACTTTCAAAATTTAATATAACACAGTGTTAGAACCATCTTTTAAAAACATTAAAATAAAATTTTGGAAGCTGTATATATTCAACCCACAGTAATTTTTGTGTGAAATCTGATCAATTAATCATTGAATAATGACTACATATGAACAACTTAAGTTAAGCATTTTAATAGAAATAATCTAAGTCTTATGTTCTTGCTGTATTTATAAAAGCCTACAAAATTATTCAGTGTAACAATTTAAAACAAAAAATAAGGGCTGTTTTTGGACTTGTTTCTTTCATTTCACCAGTCATAGAATTATGTTCCAGAACACATAGAAACTTAATGGTCTTGCATTATGAAATAATTCCCTTATCATTTTAGAGTTATAGATATTTTTGACTTGATTGATATTTTGATGGGTTTTAGACATTGACTTTTGAGAGACAAACATAGGTACCTTTTATACCCCTTCTCCCTCTCCCCCCATACGTTTTATTGGCATATAGTTCACATATCATATAATTCAGTAGTTCACTCAGATGCCACTTCTTTTAGAAACTGTAATGTTCATACATTTTGTGTTTGTAGTATAACAAAAAATTCCATGTAATCAAAAATTTCATATTCCCATCTGTATTTTCCTTATGAAATTTATCTTAGAGGTGTATCTGGCGAGTGGGCAGGAGCCCTTGTCTGGGCCGGAAAAAAGAAAGAAATTTATTTTTAAAAGTTTTTTTCATCTGGTTTAAAGAAACAACCCTTTATATCTTCTGTAGTGGTACGTGGTATCATGTTTCTGACTAAGCTGCTATTTACTTACCTGTAATTTTGATTCTTTAGGCCACTGTAGTAATTTATTTGTTAAAACTTTCATACTTATTTTTATAAAATGCCCTTATAGCCTTAATATTGAAATTCATTAATAGTACAATTCTTTTTAAAATGTTTCTATTTTTCATCCTTCAAATCGTTTTCAATGTTATTTCTTATTTCAACCTAAATTACAAACTTTTTTATTTGATATTATATAAATGATAGTAGCCCTGTACTAAAATGGGTATTAAGACCATAAAAATGCAATAAATCTTTGCTACAGAAGATATATCTATTTATTATGTTTGTCACATGTCCAATCCCACTGCCCTCTGCCATGGAGTCAGTGACGCATAGCAACCCTGTGCCCCACTGCCATTGAGCTGATTTCCACCCTTCGTGGCCCTATATAGGGTTTCTCTATAGAAGCAAACAGCCTCATCTTTCTCCCAAGGGTTCCTGGTTGGTTTGAACTGCCCGCCTTGTGGTTAGCAGTCCTAGCGCTTACCTGAAAGCGCTGAGTGAAACTGCCCTCTGGTGTTTCCAAGGCTATAAACATTTACAGAAATAAGCTAGTGAATTTGAGTGACCCACCTTTTGTTGGCAATCCAGCACTTTTACTATTGTGCTAACAGGGCTCCTCTAACATGCCCAGTAAGGAGTCATAATTTTATTCAAGATCGGCATTCATTAAAAACTAGCCTTGTTGTTAGCAATTGCCAGAATATTGTTTTCTGTTTCCCTAAAACAGTAACTTTTTATTTTTTAACTTAATAGGCAATGAAATAATTAAGTTTTGAAATGGGACACATATTTACAGTTTGGATATTGGTATCATGCTGTTTGCCCTACAAAAGAACTTGCAACATAAAGAGCAAGCCAATAGCTTGACTATCTCCCTCAGCCACTTTTGTTGAAGATGTAGACCACAACTGTGGTAATGTAGTGTTATTAAGAAGCTTTCAAAAATGTATGCTTTGACTTTTCCTCTTAAAACAACACTACACACACAGCACACAGAAACACAAAACAAGCTATCAACCTAGGGGTTTTGGGGGTTTTTTTTAATGGAAATGTTCCTAATAATGCCATGTCCTATATAATTTGAGGTTCAAATCATACAATTATGTCTGAAATTAATATGAAGGTTTTAAATGAAAAATAATCTTGAAAACTCATGGTAGTGTAACCACTAAGATAACTATTTAATAGAATTCTTTATTGTCTGTAAAACTATTAAAAAAGGAGTTGTGGCCTTGGGACATAAAAGCTTTTTAACTTCTGTAATTAGAAATATTTTTCAGAAGCTAACCATGAATTTTTATAATTTACTATTATAAAAGAAAAACCTTTTGGTGTACAAAGTATCTTAAAGTACAATTTTACTCTTTGTCCAAGTCTACCAAGTATTAGATATTTAAATGAAAAAATAAATGCCACTTAACTGAATGTACTATTGGTTTTTTAAGCTTTAGGATCCTTTTCTTCTGTATTTGGAGAAGAATGGAAGGAGAAGACTGATAGAGATTTTGTTAAGGTAATTTATGTGAACATATAATCTTGAAACACTGAGTTACATGTAACCAAGGGTCAAAGTATCAATAGTTATTTGTTTTATATGATATTGTCTGTATTTATAACTTTAATATAACTATAAACAAATTTGGAGTATATTTAGTAAGCTCTTTTAGAATATCCAATGGAATTAAATAAAGTTTTTATTTTGTTATACATTTATTTCTTAGGATGCACATCTTCAATAGGAATAAATAATTGAGTTACCATATTTCAAAGCAAGTTAAACCTTCCTATCTCAAAAACATGTTATATTATTCAATGAATGAGGGTCTCCTTTGGCTTTTTGCCTAGTGTTTTACAGTTTTCTTTGTATAAATATCTTGTTTTTCTGGTTAGATTTATTTCCGAGTATCTCTTCTTTGGAGTGGCTGTTGTAAATTATAAGTGTGTTAATGTAAAGGAATCTGGCTGATTTTTGTATGTTGATCTTGGGACCTGCCACTTTGCTGAATCTTTCCATTAGTTGCAGTAATTTTCTTGCTAAGGTTTTGGAATTTTCTGTGTATAGGATCATTTCAACTGCAGACAGAGATCATTTTACTTTTTCATTGCCTGTGTGGTTGCCTTTAATTTCTTGCCTTGTAATTCCAGCTGAAACTTCTCGCACAATATTGAATCAGAGTGGTAAAAAAGACATCCTTGTCTGACTCCTCTTAAAAGGGGACTTTCCCCATTGGGACTAATGTTGCTCTTGAATATATATATATTATACCGTATATACTTGAGTATAAGCCAAGGCACCTAATTTTACCACAAAAACTGCAACAAAAAATAAACTGTGCTGGAAAACTCGGCGTATATACGGCATGTATTATATAACATTGTATATGTTGTAATATGTGTGTGTGTGTGTGTGTGTATATATATATATATAGTTAAGGAATTTCCCATATATTACCATTTTGTTGAGAATTTTTACCAGGTATGCGTGTTGTATTTAACAAGTGCCATTTCTGTGTGGCTTGATATAATCACATTCTTCTCCGTTGTTTTATTTATGTCATGGGTTACATTGATTGTTTTTGCAGTGTTGAACCATTCTTGCATATGTTGTTTAAACTCTACTTGGTCATAGTGGGGGGAGGGTTGTTGTTATTGGATTAGCTAGGAATTTGTTGAGAATTTTTATGTCTGTGCTCATATGGATGTTGCTATATAATTTTTAAGTGGTTTCTCTACCTGGTTTGAGAATCAGGGATACATTTACTTAAAATGAATTTGGGAATATTCCATTCTTTTTTACATTCTGGAATAGATTGAGTAAAATTGGTGTCAGCTCTTCTCTGAATGTTAGGAGTTTCTTAATGACCTGATGTATTATTTCCTTTATTGTGGGTCTATTCAAGTTTTTTACCCTAGTTTATGCAGGTTAAATAGGTAGTATGTTTCTAGAAAATTTTCTATTTCTTAAAGGTTTTTTAATTTGTTGATTTGTTTAATTTATAGTTCTTCATATTATTTGTTATTATCATTTTGTATGAGTTAGATTTGTTAGGATTTTACCAATTTTATTTAAGTTATTTGCATCTATTGCTTTCTTTCCCTTTGTCAGAATTACCAGTGGTTCATTGATTTTATTAATCCTTTCAAAAAATTAACTTCTTGTTTTAAGGATTCTTTTTTTTCTTTTTTCTGTTTCATTTATTTCTACTCTAAAATTTATTATTTCTCTTCTTCTGGTGAATGTAGACTATTTTGCTGCTCCTGTTTGAATTGTTAGTGATGCTGGATTGAGGTGTGTTAATCTTGGTTCTTCTTTTTTTGATGTATGCAATTTACTGCTATCAATTGCCCTATGAGAACTGGTTTTTGCTGTGTCTCAAAGGTTTGTTGCATCGTCTTTTCATTCTCAGTTGAATCAAGGATTTTTTTTTTCCTTTTTAAAAATCTCTTATCCAGTAGTTTTTTTAGCATGGTATTATTTAATTTCCATTTATTTGATTTTTTTCCCCTCAATCTTTCATTGATTTTTATTTTTGTAATATTGTAAACTGAGAGAAGAGACTTGGTAGTATCTGGATGTTTAAAGATGTATTGAGGCTTGCTTTGTCACTAACCGATATTCTACTGTGGAAAATGTTCCTGTGCACTTGAAAGGAATGTGTATTGTGCAGTTGCTTGATGGAATGAATGTTGCACTGTTGTTGGGTGCAGTGTTCTGTATATGTATATGAGATAAAATTGGTAAATTGTGTTGTTTAGTTCTTCTGTGTCCTTGTTGAATTTATATTGACTTCTGTTAATACATTTTAAGTGGCATATTAAATTTTTTTTTGAAGAGTTACTTAGTTTTTTAATTATGTATTTGGTGGCTCTTTCCCTGGGTACATGGATACTTATGATAGCTGTGTCTTCTTGTTTTTATTGACCCCCACAATCATTGTATATGTATCCTTCTCCATTTCTTAGGCTTGTCTTTGCCCTAGATTCTATTTTATCAAAAATTAAAGTTTCCACTCCACTCTACTTAGTTGTCATACCAAATCAAATTCACTACTATTGAGCTGATTCCAACTCATAGTAACTGCGGATAGGGTTTTTGAAATAATAAATGTTTATGGGAACCAGATAGGCTCACCTTCTGCTCAGTAACTGATGAGTTTGAACTAATGGACCCTGTGGTTAATAGGTAAGTGCCTAACCCATATCACCAAGGTGGATCTGTTTTGTTTTGTTTTGTTTTTAACAGCTTTTGATATTCAGTATAGTTTTTTCTTTGGGTGTAGACAGCAATTTTTGCTTTGTCTTGTAGACAGCATACTAGTTAGTCATTTTTTTTTACCCATTCTGCTATTGTAATCCTTTTACATTTAGTACAATTATTGATAGGTATGATTTTATTACTGTCACTTTTGTGTGTGTATGTATGCACATGGAACAATAGTTTGTGACATAATATTCTGCACTTAGTCATTTTGTATGTGTGTCTTCTTATCATTTTCTTCATTGTTGTTTTAGTGTTCAATAAATCTTTTTGTGTTCAATAAATCTATGGTGAAATCTACTTGACCTCTTCTCCATTTGGAAATTCTAGACGTATACTACATTTTCCCTCTATTTACTTGTATGTCTATAAATTTACATATTTGGTTCCAGTCATGTAAGTTTGCTGACATCTGATTTTGTTAATCTTACTTTGTTGTCTGCCATTGTTGATCCTTCATCAAAAAAAATTCTTCAGTAGTTCTTATAAAGTTGGTCTGGTTTTAAATTAAGTTATACTAATTTAAATTAAATCTTTTTAGTTTCTGTTTATCTGGAAATGTCCTGATTTTGCAGTCCTATTTGTGGCTCAGTTTTGTTGGGTATATAATTTTGGCTTCTATTTTTTTCTTTCAGCTTTTTATACTTCATCCTATTGCTTTCAGCTTTTTATACTTCATCCTATTGCCATCCTCTGGTTTCTTTCCAGAATTCAGAGCTTAGTCTTATTGATCTCCTTTATAGATAACTTCATTTTCACTGAGCTGCTTTCAGAATTCCTTCCTTCTCTTTGGTTTTGGAAAGTGTGATTATGATATTTCTTGCTGATTTTCGGGGTGGAGGCCTGGGTTCTCTAGAGAAACAGAACCAGGGAACTTATGATTATATACATATTAAAGGATAGGTTTAACAGTGAGAAGGAATATAATGGCTGATTAGTCCACACAGCAGTACAGAGAGCTCAGTTCAACTCACTTTCATGGAGCAGTTAATATACTGAAGGTCCTTCAACATAAGAAGCAAGACAGTGGAGTCTTCCCTCAGGCAAGACAGGCCGAGTTCAGCCCCACAGGCAGCAAGCAGCAGGGTGGAGCAGCAAGTCAGTAGTACGGTAGCACAGAGAAGCAGGCCCCTATGGGATCTCAAACTCAGCAATACATGGAGACAGGATCTACCAGCTTCGAGCTCAAGCAATACAGCTTGGCAAAGCAAGTCTTGAAGGAGCCTTTAGCTCAAGCAGCAGCACCACGCTGGCCCCATCACCAGGGAAGAAGAGAGGATGCCACCACAGAAAGTATTTATTTTGGTAGCCCTCCAGTCAAGCTGCGACCTGAGTAAATTCTGCCCACATGTTCTTAGGGAGGCCTGGTTGGCACAGTAGACCTAACCTAACTATCACAAGGCTTATGTACTGTGTAGGGTTTGCTTGCCTTCTTGAATGCATTTCTTGACTTTCATAGTATTTCAGAAGTTGTGTTCCAACAAATCTGCAATTATCTCTTGACTTTTTGTGGTCTCTTCACATTCTGAAATTCCAGTCACAAGTAAGTTATTCTTCTTGATGGTGTCCCACATAGTTCTTAGGCTTTCTTATATATATATATGATTGTTCCTTTAGCAAAGAAGTATTGAAATTCGCCTATGACCTCACTTAATCTTCCATTTGCCATTTCTATGTATTTTCTATTCCTTAAATTTTAAAGTTAATCTTCTGGATTTCTATTTGCTGTTTTTATATAGCTTTTCTTTTTAATTTATTGGGTTTTTCTTTTATTTTTATAAATTCTAAAGATTGTTTTTTAAACTTTTAGTTTCATCAACATCTTTTTTTTAAATATAAATCATTTTATTGGGGGTTCTTAAAGCTCTTATAACAATCCATACATCAATTGTATCAAGCACACTTATACTATGTTGCCATCATTTTCAAAACATTTTCTTTCTACTTGAGCCTTGGTTATCAGCTCCTCTTTTTTTTCCCTCCCTCCTCAACCCTCCCACCCCTATTAGCCCTTGATAAACTATAAATTATTGTTTTCATATCTTAGACCATCTGCTGTCTCCCTTCACCCACATTTCTGTTATTCATGGTGGTGGTGGTGGTGGTGGTGGTGGTGGTGGTGGTGGTGGTGGTGTGTGTGTTATACATCGATCATTGCAAAAAGTTCCCACTTTCTCCCCCTTCTTGAACCCCTACCCTCATGGTATTGCTACTCCCATTATTGTTCTTGAGGGGTTTATCTGTCTTGTATTCCA